AGTTACATTTTATATTTCTAGTTTTAGATACAAGAGTGGTACATTTATACAAATCAGATGATCATACTCAGTAGATTATAAGCTTTGCAATGATACCTTACAAGAGACCTTTTGCGTGAGGCATATCCCAGTCATGTTACATTCACTTATTACCGTATTTTCTCTAAAACTATCTCAGTTACATTATATTGACTTATTATCAAGTTTTTATAAAACCATATAGACTGCACAACGTCACAGCAAGCTGAGTGAGCATTCCATGGAATAGCATGTCAGCATGGATGTACATGTAGAACTAGATTGTGGATCATATGATGTTCATGACATTTGCCAGAAGTCACTGAAGCCAGGACAAATCTAGGGGATAAAGAGAAGCTTACTGCAATTTCTTTTTGCCTATTTAAGTCTCAGTCCTGCATTGAGTCCCTGTGCCCGTGTGGTTAAGTCAGGGCCTTACATTATAAATTCTTTGACACAAAGATCATGGATCAGATCTTCAGCTAATATAAAATGGCATAGTTCCATTGATGTAAATTTACACCAGATGAAGATTTGGCCCTATGCCTTCACATTGGTTTATAGATGAACTAGTCCACAACTGGTACCATAATAAATACTACTACCACTACTAACATTTTCCAAATAGAAACTATCATAATCAAAGCACAATAAAAATATGGAGAGGAATCATGATTATATAGACATTCTACTTTTTAAAAAACTCTTTTCTAATTTCGGTTTTCTCTACAGCACTCAAGTAACTATTATGGCAGAATATAATCTTGGCTGATATAGAACAGATGTCTGATATGCATGTTTATGTGCTGCTAATTAAATCTCTAGTTGGTAAGTAGTAGTCTGCTGGCACAGAACCAAGATGGCAATTGTACAGAAATTGTTACAAACTCCACAAAATGTCTATTTTTATCTAATTAACAAGGATATTCTAAAACTCCAACAGAGCACTATTTCTTAGGATGATCTTTCTAGTAGCTATTAGTGGAGACATCTGTATAAAAACTATAAGGACTGAGTAAAAACTGAGGACCTTAGGGGAGAGTCAGATATTCTCAGTTAAGGAAGCACACTTTGTCACGTGAAAGTCAACGTCCTCCTTTATGACCTGGAGTTACTGTTGTGCAGCATCTCATGGGGTTAGACGCAGGCCATCAAGCAGCCATTATCAAGAAATTATTCAGCACAGTATAGTAACTAATTCCTATAAAAGTTAACTTTTCTGTACTGTCTGCTGAATTTTGATTAGCAGCAGTGTTAACAGTGAAAAATGTACAGTACATGAGAGCAGGTGATGCCTAACTTCCTTTTTAACCTGTTTTTCCTTTCTATCTTTCACACACACACACACACACACACACACACATTTCTGAAACACTGATCTTTTGGGAAGAAATTTTCCATGCTTTGCCTCTGTCCCAAAAGTGGATTATTTTGGAAAATTTGAGGAAAATACCTTCTGCTCTTTTTCCTATTGCAAATAAATAAATAAATAAATAAAAATAAATGCAAACCACGTCTTGTTAGATATGGCTATAGTGAAAAACGGCTTAAGTGTTAAACTTGAAGCACAGCAGGGTTATGTCTAGTTTTTTGGGGGGTGGGGAGGGAGTGAACATAAACAAAAGTGATTCCATAAAATCTCAGTAGCCTCTGCTAACAAATTCGTCGAACATAAGGCAGCTATGCCTCCTTTGAGAAAACAATACAAATACTCACTACCTAGCCTGACAGACACAGGGATTGTTGTTCTCACTTGTTACTGGCATAATTTGCACAAAGGAGATTGTGAATGTTTTAAGGAAATACACACGGCAAAATTCTACTAAAAATCCTGCTTTAACATCCACGCCAGGGGAAAATCATGGTGGTGAAAAATATTATGGATCTCTTGATTTTAGGGACTCTGCATCCTACATTGGTCTGCAAATTCTAAGATTCCCCATTTAAAAACAAAAGAATATAAAAAGAGCCTTTTATGTTGTTCTGGTATAGGGTTCACAATATGAACCAGCAGAAAACTGCCTCCAGTCAAACAGGAAGTGCACGAAAGGTGGGGAGTCACCTCTCAATATGGGTGCATGCGGTATAAGTGAGGACATAGACTCACCTTTAATTATAAAGTCAGATTCAAAATGAGCAGCTTCAGTATGTTATTAAGAGACACAGAGAGATGACAATGGATTGTTCAGGATTCTAAGGAACTGGAGACAAAATGCCAGCCCACCTTACCCTCTGAATGGCACCAACATGCTCCCTACCTTGTATTTGAAGTTGAGTTGCTGAGCCTGCTCAAGTTGTTTTTCCTACCACGATCTTCACTGGGGTTGACTCTACTGGTATCTGAAAAACTGGAGGTGGAAAATGGAGGGATAATTAAGAGTTCGTGTGGAGGAAACTTCTGGATACATCTGAAATGACTACAATGAAGCTGGTTTTTAGAATGTACTTGCTTTAACTACAAAAAACATCTTTTGCTTTCAGGAAGAAGGGAATTTCCTATCCAACTTATGTGATGATGGCACTTGCATAGTGAATATGGCCACAAAAAGGCACTCTTAGGACGTAAAGTTTTAGAGTGGCAAATAAGGTGGTAAAGAATCAGAGGAAATGCACCATTTCACTCTCTATGCAGGAGTTTTAATTTCACGATGGAGCATTTTGGTGTATTTTAGAAATACATTTTGTGAACTTTTTTACTCTCTAAATTAATACTGAGACAAATGGTGAGGCCTTAACTCATTTTGTATTCAGCATTTACTCAGGCAAAATTATTATGAAACCAAAGGGAGACTGGATAAAACCTGAGTGAGGACCTACGGATCTGGCTTGTTGATCATAGCTACGCTTATTGCAAAAGGAGAGATGCCATTATCAAGGGATCTTTCAATTAGGAAGGCAGATTTCTGTCATGGGATGTCAATTTTCCCTTGTCCAGCAGCTTTCCTGTGTCTATGGGGTAAGTACATACAGCAGTATTTCTTATGCCAGTACTAAGAGAGAATTACAACATGGTGTTATTCAGAAGCAGTGTGTTTCCGCTAGGTGGTGGGCTTGGTGTATTCCCGCTTTTTTAACCCTGCAGTAGTTCATTCACTTTGGCTTATGAATTGATGTTTCTGGCAGAGAACTTGAAAAAGGAAAGAAATTTATTACTAATATTTTACTGTGTTACATCGTGCCAGGTTCAGTTTTGCAGAATATACTGTGCCCAAGAGTGTAAGTTATTTTCAAATGAGAAGCTCATAGATTATGGGGTTGAACATTTCTCTTTAACTCCTGAAGTCCTATACCATTGGTATCTGCCTACTGCATTGAAATGACACTCACTCACTTTAAATTAATTAAATACAAAATGCAGCTTTCAATAAATGTTTAATACTTCATGCTTAGCTCACCCCATTGTGTCTGGGTGTTACAAGGGCCTCAAGAGAATGGGTAATGTGTGATATATTATTACTGTGATGCAATAACTAGGCACAAAGGAGTCCCACTGTCTTTGAATGTTATCAGATCAATACAGGATTTCAGACCTTGAGTAAAATTTTCAAAAACATCTAAGTGACTTAAAGGTGAAGTCCCACTTTCAAATGTGACTTATGCACTTAAGAGTCTTCTCTTTGACTTCCAACTAGAATTAGGCTCCTAAATTCCTAAGTCACTTTTGAAAATGGAACTTCGGCTCCTAGATCAGTTAGGTGCTTTTGAAAGTTGTTCCCTACAGTTTTCACTCTAAACATACCTGAGGTTTATTTGGGTTGCATTAGAAAAGTATCAGCTTCCTTTCTGACAGTGTCTTGAATGGCCCAGACAGATCAAGCTGCCGATTTCAAATCTTGTGGGTTACAGGGTTTCTGTGGAGTTGAAGGGTGCGAGGTATTCTGTGTAGAGTGGGCAAAATATTTGCAGCAAGATTCAAACTGCTTGAAATTTGAGCATTTTTAGTGACTTCAGTTTTGTGAGTGGTCTTTTCCCCAAACTTTTAGAGCTCAAAAGGAAATTCGCCAACCAAGGATTTTTTCCTCAGAGACAAGGTGGGTGAAGTAACGTTTTTTATTGGACCAACTTCTGTTGGTGAGAGAGACAAGCTTTTGAGCTACACAGAGCTCTTCTTCTGCAGACACATTATAATCTCCACAAATGTTCAGAAATGGGACATTTCAAGAGCATGAAAAATGGGCAAAATGGAAAACGCTACAAAAATGTTGTGAAAATATCTCCCCAGTTTCACACAATACCTATACAGCGAGTGACTCCTGCAACCAAAGGAACGAAATGTGAAGACCATAGCTGGCAAGAAGTCATCAGAGAACGCACAGGACCTGAGATTATCTCCTGTGGAATGTAAATTAAGAGCAGGGGGCCTCAAGGACAAAGCTGGAGAGCTAAAGGGTCTGTTGAGGTCAAGGAGAAAGATTTGGATGTCCATGGAGTCTGTTGGAGTTGGAGAAAGGGAGTTGGGTGAAGCAAAAGGGATTGGATAAGGTTAAGAGACAAAGATCTGATTGAGCTGGAAACAGAAATGGGAGAAGGGAACCCTCCAGAGCTTTTGAGAAGATCTGTATAAGAACCAAATTTTCTAGACTCAATGCGAATGCAACATGTGAACAAGTTCCATTCTTCACTAGCAGTTAATCTAAATATCCAATGACTAAAGTTGAAAATACAAGAATCTGATAAACTTCCTAAATAAAAAACAATGGGAGAGAGGAATCAGGGAATGCCCATCCACCAGGATGAACTGACTACTATCCTTGTCTTTTGGAGTGGAGCAGCCAAGGAGTACTGAGCCAGAATTGTACAATTTAAGATGTTTTACAGAGTTTGTAGGATGTCACAGACAGACAGACAGACAGACCCACACCCACACAATTGCAATTAACTCACAGCTTTATGCTGGTGACAGTGTAGATAAGTGAGTGCATTCTTTTTCTGATGCTTTGGGAATTTCATCAGGTATAGTTTTTAGTAAAATAGTCTCTTTTATTCTGTATTTCATATTGCTCTTCCCTTCACACTATATTTTCATTCTGGGTTTGTTGAGATATTCATAGACCTTTTTCAATCTGAAATGGAAAGATGATTAGCCTTTCTCTGTTTTCTCCCCATTGCAGAGTTTTTCATCATTGTGACTAAATTAATTTCCTTTGAATGGATTGGATTTGCTGCTTCTAACAGCCTCATATGACACTTATTAGGAGCTGTTCACATGTTGCATTTGCACTAAGTCTAGAAATTCTGGATATATGAGATGATAAATTTAATTTAGATTTGGAAACTTTTATTAGAAGATCTAGGAGGATTTACAATGAATGTTGCTGTGTCTCAGTATCACTTCATATGTACTCTAAAGATCTTATCTGATGCCTATATGCAGCTTATGCTCTTATTAGGTAGCATTTTTGTTCTTATTTGTATGCATGGATATTTTCATTATACTTCATTAAAGCTTATACAAAACCTAAGAAAATGGAACAAAAATTTATAAGTATTTTTTGATGTCTCTGGCTGTTCTAACTCATCAGATGTTGTTGACCTCTTTCTTAATAGGTTGTCTCTACACCCCCATCGCTACCAAGAATTGCAATCACTGTCTGAAATTTCTTTTGGCACTTATGCTTTCTGAACATTTCAGATTACTGTTTGCGATCAGAGAAGGTTATAAAATATTCAAAACTACCTAGCATGAAGACTTGTCCCAAGAATGGCAGAGCAAGCAAGTTTGGATTTGAAATCAATGTTTCTGGTTAAGCCTCTAGAAAATGCATGGTATAAATTTCAGCTATCTGAAATACATCAGAGATGGTAACATGAGTAAGGCACCACTAGCTCACCTGTGTAACACAGCACTTTTCCTAATCTCATGTAGAATATATTGAGGATGGCTTGTGTGTAAGTGTGTGTATATACACCTCTACCTCGATATAACGCTGTCCTCGGGAGCCAAAAAATCTTACCGCTTTATAGATGAAACCACGTTATATTGAACTTGCTTTGATCCACTGGGGTGCGCAGCCCTGCCTCCCCGGAGCGCTACTTTACCGCATTATATCCGAATTCCTGTTATATTGGGTCATGTTAAATCGAGGTAGCGTTGTATTAAACAAACCCCAGGTACTACATTCAATTCTGCTGCCACTGCAATCAATGGGATTTTTGCCATTCCCTTCAGTGGAAGAAAGATCAAGCCAAGTGGTTTTGGGTCTTTAAGGCCTGATCCTGTGAGGTTCTAAGTGCCCGTGCTCAGCACTTCACAGAACTGAGCCCTTAGTAACACAGACTAGTTTTGGTTGAGTTGCTAAGGGCTGAAGCACTGTTTTATTTAAAGGAAGATAAATATTTGGCCACAAACTTGTTAATTTTGTCCATTTAAACCTAACAAGGATTACCAAACTCTTCTTGGACTTAAGTTCTAAATTGACCTGATACATTATCATGTATTACTTGGAGATATCTCTTCTCTTTCTGCGACCTGACCATCTCTGCTACATCTAATTAATGACATTCCCAACTGCCAGAACAGCCATTGCACAAATTAAGTATTTTATTATTCTAAAATGTTTGTAAAGTGCCCCATAAACCATAATAGTCAACATAAACTGTGCATTACAGACTTGTGAGATGATCAAAGGGTTTTCTTAGAATGAATATATAGAGTTTGAGAAAGGTTACCATAGCCAAATCCCTGAGTTGTATCCTGGGATTGTTAAATGTGCCAAGACAGACATTCCATTACTTCTAATCCTGAAGTCTGCATTTGCCTCTGTTCACACCAAGGAGCTAGTTTGAATGGTTTTAGTGCGTGCTTATTCTGTCAGTGATAGTCTTACATTTCTGACGGGGAGCCCACTAAGTGTTAGATTTTATGTCCATTCCCTCTTGGATATGGCTCTCTATTTCCACTGATCTACATACAACATTACATAGTATATAATTTATATCAGCTTCCACTATTGCGACCAGTCTGCCGGATGGGTGATGGTGGTAGTATCAATTTATATGAACGTATTACCAGTTTCTTGGTGGATTGGGTAACAAAGGGCCATTTGTGAACCAGGACTATGTAACAGAGAGGGGAAGTTATAGCCAAGGTCTCATCCTACATAATGATGGAAATTAATAAGTAATGTTACTGAGTCAACTGGGTACAAGGGAATCCTTGGGCAATGAGCATTCTGCTATTCTATATTCTGAAACTGTGAAACTGGAAACTTTCCTTCTACAATGTTAAAGCCTCAACCAGGTTCCAAAGAGCAAGAGTACATTTTCATGCACAGTGGGATACTAAGCCTGCAGCTCCCCCCCCATAATAAAAGAGCCGTGTTTCTAATTATGCGTGCATACACTGAAAATGTACCTGTGTGAAATTGGTTTAAAGAGCTTAACATAAAATAAGATTAACTCTCCATGAAACTATGAGAAAAGAAGAACAGTGGACTTCAAAAGGTCACTACAAAAGTAACATCAAAGGTGAAATTAGATACGGGAAAACAAAATTACAACTACACTGGCTCCTCGTAGAACATCACATCAGTTCAAGGTCTCTGTCCTTACATTCAAGGTACTTAATGATCTTGGCCTAGGCTACATAAAAATCACCTAAAACTCCAGGACTAGGACCACAGTAAATAGCTAAACCCTGCAGGCACAATGGAACTGTCTAGTGTAAGGGTAAAGTTTGTGCAGGAGAAATCATGTTTTCCCTATTATTTTTCTTCAGTTTGTTTATTTCAGCAGCCCTTTTTCTTTACCCCCAAGACAAAATGCCGTAAGCAGACTGTGATACATGGGGGCGGGGGGACAGCTCCCTTTGATGTAAACCCAGCCAGCCAGTTAGCTGTAAAATCCCTCTTGGTCTGTTCTCTGCTTGCTTTACCTGTAAAGGGTTAACAAGCCCACAGGTAAAAGAAAAGGAGTGGGCACCTGACCAAAAGAGCCAATGGGAAGGTAGAACTTTTTAAAATTGGGAAAGGAACTTTCCCTTTGTCTGTTGTTCTCTGGGCTGCAGGGACATGGAGCAGTAATGCTATAAGCAGCTTTAAGCCAGGTATGATTATAGATTATCAATTCATACCTCGAACCTACTTATCTGGAGCCTCAGATATGTAAGTAAAATTAGGGACTGTCTAAAAAAATGCGATTAGGGTTATTTCTTTTATTTCTTATTGCTTGTGGACTCCTCTGTACTAACACCAGATGCTTTTGTTTGCTTGTAACCTTTAAGCTGAACCCGCCCCCAAGAAAGCTATTTTGGGTGCTTGATTTTTGGAATTGCTCCTTTAAAATCTAGCAAAAGCCTAATTCCAGATGTATTTTTTTTTCCTTTTTCTTTTTAATAAAATGTACCTTTTTTAAGAACAGGATTGGATCTTTGGTATCCTAAGAGGTTTGTGCATGTTGTTGGATTAGCTGGTAGCCACAGCTAATTTCCTTTGTTCTATTTTTCAGCTCTTCCCCGGAGGGGGGGTGAAAGGGCTTGAGGGTACCCCACAGGGAGGAATTCCCAAGTGCTCCTTTCTGGGTTCAAAGGGGGTTTTTGGCATTTAGGTGGTGGCAGCGTTTACCAACCCAAGGTCAGAGAAAAGCTGTAACCTTGGGAATGTAATACAAGCCTGGAGTGGCAAGTATTAATTTTTAAAATCCTTGCGGGCCCCCACTTTCTGCATTTGGAGTGACAGAGTGGGGATTCAGCCTTGACACAGACATACACTGATCACTTACAGCAGTTAAATTAACTGTGGTATTTGTAACATTCCCCATTCTAAATACTGCCAATACCATGATAAATATATTACTATAGTAATAAGATTTTAATGGCACCCACTGCAGGTAGCTGTAATAATGCCATAATGCCAATTAACTGGTCTTACAGCCATGGACATACCACAATATTAAATACTTAGTGGCACACGGGAGGTAATTTGGGTGGTTCCAAAGCCAAGTACATTGTTGACGTACAGTATCTTTATAAACCAGGAAATCAGGCCATCCCTAGCAGGGGATGAGAGAAGGGGCCAAACACCACTAGAAATAGGTAAATCCTTTTCATCGGTTTAATCTTGGAGCATGTAAACTGGTAAATTCATGTGTGAACTAAGCCTCTCTCTACATATGTGCATGACATCACTCCATAAAATGGATGGATGTGAGAGATTTACCTTCTTATCCTAAAATTGTAGGCTGTGAAATCAGAAGTGACAGATGCTGGGGTGGGGAAGATGGCTGCCTTTTTTAGATACAGGGAATGCTTCCCTATTCTCAGATATCAAATTTGTTATAAAAATCAAGTGAAGAACAATAACTATAGCAACAGTGGATTTTTCACAGTAAAACAAGGTTTCACACTACAACTAGCCACCCTAAGTATTACTGCAAATAATAAGTGAAAGATAAAAATATTTCTTTTCTATCTATTTGTCCATCAGTCCATTTCATGTCCAGCACTGTGGTACCTCAGCAATACATAATTACCCAGGTGCAATACAATTTTTACTAAGCTGTTTTCCATAGAAAATGTTTGCAACCAACAGAAGAGCTGAGAGGCAACAAGCTCCAATTAATGCTGTTATCAGCTGCATAGATGGTGGCTGAGTAAGGGGAAGAAAAACATTCAGCTTACCTGTTAGCATACAGATGTTGCTGGGATTCAAGAGACTGGGGGGAAGCCCTCAGGGCACTTGCTGAATTGCTCACTGGTAGTTTCTCTTGCTGGTCCTAGAGAAACAGAAATGTGCATGGTAGGATTTTTAAAAGCACTCAACATCGGCCTAATTCTGCTCCCATGAAAGTTAATGGGAGTTTTATTATTGACTGCAATGGTAACAGAGCTAGGCCAATCCTCAGTGCCTTTGAGAATCACAGCCAAAGCCTTGTATACAAACAATGCTTTCCAGCTTAGCTGCATCCTCCTGCTGATCTTATCATTGGCACAAGAACTCCTGTAGGCATTACAAGCAAGTGTTTAGGAGTGGTTTAAGAATTTCTTAGCTCAAGTTTCAGGTTTTCAAAATGTCTCAGCAGCAGGTGTTGGCTGACTTGAGTTACTTAAGGTGTTTAGATCTATAGATAGGTTAAGGTTCAAGGTATCAAAGTCATTATTTAGTCCAGATTTCTAAATCTTCCATTGATGAATCATGAGAGGCTGATCTTGGGCCTCTCCTGTGGACAGACACAGAAGACATCCTCCAGTAGGTACAGGGATTATACTTCACAGCTCTCTGAAAGGCTGTGTTTGCAGATAGCAAGGCCGTTAATCCCCTCCCCATTGCCACCCACACAGTTACAATGTTTTGACTTAACATGTATTTTGCTACCAAAACTTGCATTTAAGCTAGTTAAGTTGCCTGATGCAATATCAAGATAACAAGTTCATGAAAGTTAACTGTATGTTCAATACATTTCTTTATAATGTTTTCATAAAACTACAGTTTAGTTATTAATATAGATTTTTTTTGGAACAAAAAGAAATATTGGCTGAACATGTTAAAATTTTATTTACTAATAATTTTTTACTCAAGGAGTCAATGTTCTCTTCACATGGTCACATAATACATGGATTCCTTGGATTCTGCATTCTTCTTAATTTAGGCTCACATGTTATTATTAGTTACACCATGCAGACATGATCTCAAATGTTTGGGGATGATCTTCTACTAGCAGACATAATTGGGCTCCTTTCCAACAAGTTATTGCCACCACCATCTATATCTTAGCAAAATCCTGCTAGGAAAGACCTTTAGAGAAGTGACAATGAGAAAGTCCATGAGAATGATATCTCTTGTGATGTTTTTTGCTTTTGTGATATCTCTTGCGATTGTGAAGCCCTGTATCTTAGCTTGTTTCACTATGGTACAAACTTTTTACATATTATTTTAAAATAAACCTATTTAGTTTGTTATAACTACAATTATTAAACCGGGGACCTCTGCTTCTGTGGATTTCCTAAAGTTGACTACAGTATCAGTTGTGGAAGTTGGCTGGCGAGCCAGGAGCTGTGCTGGCATTCTGAGCTGAGAATAGGTGAACCACAGGGGAGCTTAGAAGTTCTGTAGGGCTACAGGAGTCATCAAAACCAGGGGAAGTTGGAAATCAGTTGCCTGTGTTGCTTTCGTGGATGTGCTACTGGTGGTGGCTGCCATCTTCCAAACGCCATGTAAATTGTAAAGCAGCATAGTTTTGGTGAGCAGTAAGAGATAATCTGGCCCTAAGTCTCCCCTAGTCACTTTAAATTCTTTAAAATTCATTGGAATCGAATGGATCATTCCAATGTACTCAGTATTCAATGACCAACTTCCTGAGCAGGCCATTCCCCATCTCAGAACAGGCCGGGTGCAATAGATGTCACCAAGATCTTTCAATTCCATTTGGAATTCCTCGGACAAGTGTTTCTGAAGTAAAACGTTTAAAAAAAGTTAAAAGAAATTGAAAACATGATTAACATGTATTGTTTCTGAGTTAGATTTTATGTGAAAATGACTTCTTTGGAAGATGTTTAAGAGGGTGCCAAACTAGGGCACACAGTGGGGAAAAAGAGCTTGATAGTTCTTTCACTTGCACTAGTTTTACACTAGTGTAACTCTCAAGTTCTGATTTACACCACACTAAGAGTGAGGAGAATCAGGACCAAAGCTTCAGCCATAATAGTCCCCTTCCTATCTAATCAATGGTTTCTTTAGGCAACAAGTGCAGATTTAATTTTATATTTGCATACTGTTGAAGGAGACATGCCGATACCTGCAGATTCGATGCCTCCTCAGACCACCAGACTTCAAAGTCTTTTTGCAGCTTCACCTTGGCTTTTTCCATAAGAAGTTGCAAGTGTTCAATCTCTATCTTCAACCCTTTCAAGCGATTGAACATTGTTTTATAGCTGCAGTGAGAAAGGAGAAGAGGGTTTGTTCAGAACAGAGAAGTTTTGTCTTTGGCTCTGGGAAAACATGCTGACAGATCATTAATGTAGTTTTATGCTACCCAGGGCAGTTACCAACCCTGAACTTCAAAACAACTTCTCAAAGCCAGGGATGGGAGAGCATCTCATATTTTATTAGCACTTCTATGGGCAGCAGATACAAAAACCTGACCCAAGAAAATCATTTATTGCTCCTGAAACAGTCACGGGAGCAAATAACAGATGGATAAGTATGTTGTCTTGGTAGCACCCCTGCCAGCTTACGACCAAAGAGCAAATTTCTAACTCTGATCCCAATGAACAAGTTGCTAACTGTGATCCTCACTACAGTAACATATTGCACTATTTTTAGACTGCCAGACCAGGCTTACAGGAAACTAGCTGACATTTTAGACTGAAGGTGGAAAGTTAATAGTGAACCAGAAAGATGGCATTTTTGTAATAATGTCAAAGCAAAGCAGAGGTTCGCTGTGAGTCCTGAAGTCTTATTGGGACATGCTGCACATATCCAGATGTCATTTTAATTTGATATTTGAAGTATGTGATGAGGCAGAAACAACACCTTTTTTTCTCTTCTTCAATTTGTGCTCGAAGCCTCTCTTCCACGGGATCAGATTCATTTAGCTCTTCAGAAGGACTGGCAACACCTACAAGTAGAAGTTGTCAGGGGTTAGCAATGATCATATGGAGCAGGGACGAAAGAGAAATGCATTTTAATTAGAATAAGAACAGCTTGAAAAGTGCTAAGTAGTACTATGGGGTAGTGCATTAGTCTTTCCCTTCTGGGGATCTGGGTTCCAAATCCTAACTTAGGCCTTGTTCTGATTTTGCTCACACAGTGTAACTCCTGTGATTTCAGTGGAGTTAATTTGGAGTTATACGAATGCAAGATCAGAAACGGGCCCTTACTGTAAATTACACATAAAAATTAGCTTGGCTGTCTCTGCATAGTCACCTGTAGATGTTTGTCTACACCTTAAAACTAACTCAAAGTTGATACAACTGGCTGTCTCTGCTAACAGAGGTGAGAACTGAAATAGCAGAGGCGCGGCAAGCTAGGACTGAGGTACAATGGCAGAGGTGGAGGTGCCTGGGACTGGAATAGCAAAAAGGAGTATTGAGGTACAAACTGTGGGGAAGATTAACTTTGACATGCACTAAATTCAACTACTGAATATAAACAAGGGGAACTGCTTGAAAGTTGATGTGCTGCAAGAGGTTAGATGAGGCAAAAAGAAATGTGAGGGGAAATACTGCCATAGAATAGAGTCTAAAATGCATGGAAAGCAACTTAGGATCTTTTTATTCTTCACTTCACTTTGTTAACCTGATCCTTGCTGCTGGACAGTATGTTTGCACTTCAGCAGCAGTTTTCTCAACATTTGCTGAAAATCAGGAGGTAGAAGATACATTAGGTCAGACTGGAGGCACAAGTTCCTGGATGGTTTCTACATCACAATGCCAGAGTGTGTCTGATCAGTGTGATGCTGGCAGACTAGATGCCAGCTCATGCCAAGGCCCTAGGTCTCAATTGAACACTGACAAATACATAGCTGGAACCAGCCTAGCTCACCTGGATGTTAGTACTGTTAAAATAGGTATTAGAATTATAAGAATGTGTTTAGCGTTTAAAGTTTATGAAATGGTTGTAAGTTGCTGCATGCAAATATCTGTACGACATGTTATAAGGTAATATTTAAGCGTTTGCTTTGTAACTGGAAATCACCAGACAGGAGAAAAGTATTAATGAGTGTGAAATACTAGTTTCCAACAGTAGGTGCAACTCTTGCCTGACAAAGGAGACCTATTAACACCAGATGAACTATTGTGGAACATCAGGGGACACAGAACTTCATTGATTGCTCCTCTCCTCTCCATGAAGAGATGTGCAAGTGAATTTGTCCCAACAGCAGAATTTGCAACTTGAAGCAAAAGTGGGGAAGGAATAAAAAGCCCTAACAAGGAGGAACTGTATCTCTTTGCTGCTTGGACTCTTGGGGGGCAAGATTCCTAGGCATAAGCAAGGGATTCCTCAGTGCTTAGCCTGGGTTAGCCTGAAGGGACATATAGATCTGGCTTATTACAGAAGCCTCTATTACTTTTTGAAACTTAAGATGAGAACTCATTTGCGTGTATGTTCACTTGCTTTAACCTTGTAAATAACTCTCTTATTTCCTTTTTCTAGTTAATAAATCTTTAGACAGTTTATTATAGGATTGATTACAAGTGTTGTCTTTGGTGTGAGATCTAAGGTGCAATTGACCTAGGGTAAGTGACTGATTCTTTGGGACTGGGGATAGCCTGAATACTGCTGTGATCTTTGACGTAAGGGACCATCTATCACAAAGGTAAGCTTACCTGGGTGGTATGATAGATCGGAGTTCCCAAGGGAACTGTCTGTAACTCCATGTTAAGGCTGTTATAGTGCTTGAGGAGTTTACACTAGATAATTGGATGGTGAAAACTAAATATAGAACTCACAACCAATTTGGTGTTTGTGCCCTGCTTCTTAACAGTCTGCCCTGAGGTTGGTATTCATGCTCTTGAGCTATTGCAGGACAGCTTGAACTTCCACACTCAGTACACTTCTACAATATTTTCTTGTTCTGGGAGACAGCCTTCCCAACAAGGACTAAAGTAACTGGGCTCAGTTCAGCAATGAAGGAAATGTCAAGTTACCTACTAAAAAAGCACAACTATTACAAAACCACTTTCTATTTCTAGGGAGTGTCTTAAGGTTCCCAATAAAACAAGTTTTGCCTTTTTTACTAAAGAAAAATGCAAGGAACAAAAGATTTGCTGTACAATACACTTTGGTTTCCATCTCAATTATTATTTCAGCCAAGAAAATAAATTATATGTCAACCTTTCATTAGGCCTAAGGAATGTACCCTAGCTTCAAGGAATGGAATTCTGGCTGGAACACGAGGGCAGTAATGACCTCTCTTTGCCTGTCAGTACTCCAGCTAAAACCATTATTCTTTTGTTGTTACACCCTGTAGCTTAATCAAAAATGAGATTGAAACATATTTAATTTCACCAAAAGTACGTAAGGTCAAGTGTGTTAATACAGACTAAAAAGCAAGGCGAACAAAAACTACACACACAGCTTTCATTCCATACAAGCAGATTATAAGAGAAGGGTAGGGCTGAGTGGGGCAGTCTGTGATGGAGTGGGTGCTCTTAACACATTAAGAAATGAAACTCTCTTGGGAGTTAAAGCAAACAACATATGAGTCAAAAGAAGTGTCGGATTCATGGCAGAAGAGGTGTCAAAAATTAGTGGTGTTATACGAATACACTACAATAAAACACAATAGATAGTGAAGTCCTGGCCCCATTGAAGTAAATAGTAAAACACCCATTGGTTTCAGTGGGATCAGGATTGCACCCCTAGTCTCCTCCCTTATCCATCCATATCTCCAATGGTAGTTATGCCAAAATACTGTAGGGAGAACAAAACTAGTGGGTCAGATGGCTTCATTAAGGCAGAGGTATACATTGGAGAAAGTGCAGCAAAGGACTCCTGATGTTCTTGAGGTGCAGGATGAGTGTTCCCTGTGCACCCCTCCCTTAGGAATTTGTAGCATTCAATCAACTCCATTGTCAGCCAGTTCTGCTGGTCATGGTGCAGTGAGTGAATCGAAGAATTCATGGAGAAACTGATAATACTTACCTACCTTTCAAATAAGCCTGGATGAAAAGCACTATTTTCAGTAAGCGATACATACTGTTATCATCAGTGTTACCATGGCAGACTTCATAGTCAACTAACTTGAAAAATTCTGGCTTATTTTTGTCCACAATCAAACTGAAGATCAATTTTGTAAAGAAACTCTCTGTGACTCTGAACTTTAATCTCTCTAGGGAGCCCATATATTACCGGCCCTGAATTTGTTCTAGGAGTCAAACAATCTAGAGATTTATTGTCCTAGTACCTCAATTAACATTATGTCCTGCCCTTCAGCTGTACCTTTGCAGTCAAAGGTTTTCATTTCAGCATCAGACAATCTTGTATTTAACTACTTAAATTTATAGTCACTTGAAATAATCACAGTTAGAGCTGTCTTCAGTGTCCAATTAATCTTTGTATTGCTTTTATTTATCCGTTCTGCTACTCTTGGCAAACTCAGTCCTGAGGTTGTTGTGCTATTAGGCTGGAGCCTACAATGCTGTTTGGGTTGGTTTAAAAAGAATCCCCCTTTCCTTTTGTTTGTAGGGAGAGTGGAGTTACTCAGGCTTTCTCCTTATCTTTTGATTCCTCCCCTAGGCCAGTTCAAGCTGTCTTGTTTGATTGAGGAGTGGATGTGACTTTCCCCAGGATGGCATTATGGACACATTTTATACAAAAATAGAGATGGACATGAACTGCGAAATTCAGATCTAGATTCAAACTTTCCCAAAGGTTGAAATATTTGGATTGTTGGTTTTGAATCAACCGTACCTCTAATTATTTTCTAATATGGTGTTTAAAACATTCTACCAGGTGGTAAGTTCTATGCATTAAAATAAAACAATAGTCTCATCTTCAACCTTTGAAAACATTACATTTATGGTTTTTTATTAAAAAGCCACACTCATTATGTTGTCTCTTATTTTGAATTTTAGCACAGATGCCATCCATCATTGTGTTGCTTTGCTCTGTATAATTTTATCACTGGCCTCACATGCTTGTGTAACTTGTGTCCAGTGTAGCATACCTGGAATACACGGTCTAGCTTTGGTGTCTCTGTTATGAGTTCTTCTGGTTAAATACAGATTTCTATTTTTGTTTTCCACTCATTGAAGCCTCGTTTGAAACATGTCATCATATTGGTTTGCTCCTTAAAATACCTGGCACATGGAACAAAAAGTGTTTCCAATTCAGCTGTACTCAAGCCACAGGAATTTCTGAAACCAATGTGACTAAAACTTTGCCAATGGTTTCCAAATGTGTAAGTAGTAAATACTGAAAAATGCAGGTGAATAGGTCCAAATTTAATGTGTTCCACATATGGCAGTCTATATAGTGGAATAATATAACACCTGGGCCCTGGTCAGAAAACACCCACTGATCTAGAACCTTGACTAAGTCTACTAACTGAACTTTGCCACTAGATTACATAAGGTTTTTGTCATCAGTTATCTTGCCCATTTTATTACCCAGAGCCATACTTGACAGTTCAATGATGGTATTTTCTCTATTATTCTCTAGATCCATAAAATGGGCACAGGGCTTATCATCCATCCATTTTAAGGTTTCTATACTGTCCTTCAGAATAACATCTAAGCATTTCCATGAAAAAGTCTCTTTGCTAAATTTTGGAGTAAACATTTTCAATACAAAAATAAAGTGATAGAAATTACTTTTGAGCCTTCTCATTTGCTTGTTAGAAGAGTGAGATGTTTGAACTGCAGTGCCATCAGGATGCAAATGACAACTGGATCCAAATGGTTCAGTCGTTCCCCCCCCCCACCCCCACCCGCAGTGCCTGGTCAAAATAGGAGCTTGGATGACAGGAAGGTGACAGAAGTTCAGTCAGGGTGAGACAGAGGTGACGTGGCTGGGCTGGTTGGAAACATTCAGAGAAAAAGGCCACGGTATCTGCTTCCTCTTTTGATGGGCTATGCCTGCTTGTCTCTGTGAACTTCATAATGTGGTCTTCTT